CTCTTAGATTCTCTCGATCAGCCAATTTTCACTGTCTGGATGGACCGGTAAATAGCGAATTAATCAAACAATACCACTACGGTGTTTTTACAATAACAGTTGTCTAAAATGAAAACTTCGATTTACTGCATACCCAGGTGCCAGCACTCTTTCTTTTTAGAAAGAGGAAGCTGTCTGAGGGTGGTAACGGCGGTGTAATTACCTACGGCGCATTAGATCCTACGCATTGTACTGGTGAACCAGTTTACGTCCCGCTTTCGTCTAAGACATACTGGCAATTCCAGATGGATGGGTAAAATAAAAGCTATCAATTATGTCATATTCATTTTTTACTAATTTTAAATTAACTATTTCAGAAAACTTTGTACATGTCAATATTTTCAGTTTCAAGATTGGAACCTACACGTCGAACACAAAATATCAAGTAATTTCCGACACTGGTACATCATGGATTGGTGGACCAAGCTCAGCTATTTCTGCTATTGCTACCCAAACTGGAGGTTCTTACGACTGGTACAACCAACTCTATACCGTCCCATGCAGCAAGATGGACACCGATTTACCTCTCATTTTCACCATTGATGGCCAAGAATACTCTATTCCATCCTTCGAATATATACTAGATGTATAGTTTTTTATCGGTTAATTAGCTTATTAATGAATTAATAAGTTTCATAATTCTTGCTTCACTTTTTCACTGACACACAAGGACTTGCTAGTTTTATGATTCAGTTTTTCTACTTTTCAGTTGGAGCTTGGTAGCGGAAACTGTGCCTTGACTTTCTTCGACATGAGCGGCGGTGGATTCTCACCATCATGGATTCTTGGTGACACCTTCATCAGAACCTTCTGCAACGTTCACGATGTTGGCAAAGGCAGAATCGGATTCCAAAAAGCTCTTCATCCCACTAATTAGACTGAGTTTATATATTTTGGTTTTGTGATTCAACTTTGATTTTCTGAACCAGAATGCATAAAAGTTTTCCAAAACATTACTCAAACGCACTGTACTGTTACTAAATAACCCTGTCGCACTAAAAAGTTATTAACTTCAACAAAAACAAAGCTTTTTTTGTTGATAAGACCAAAAATTTTTGCGTTTTTTTTTTCAATATTTTGTAAAGTAGAGCCATATATTAATAATGCGACGACGTCTTTTTTGCTCTTTTATTACTAGATAAAAAAAATAATAGTAAATTCAAAAAACTTTTTTTAATTTACGAATAAACGATAGAATACTCAAGAAATGCTGTACGGATTGAGGACAAACGGCAATGAAAGGCTGTAGTTTGTCTTTAATTCGCAGAGCAATGCGGAGATTGCAGCCAACTTTCTTTTCCGTGACATTCACTTTTAAGTATGAAAGATGATTTTGCTTTTATCTAAACGGTAGTGTCAGTGATATGTTATTTAGACAGCGCTATTAATCCAGTATAGTACAAAAAGTTTAAAATGATTATTAGTTGATTTGAAGTAACTGTAACACAGTACCAAAAAGAAATAATAAATTCATAAACACTATAATTTTTATAAAGATAATTAGATAAACTAGGACAACAACACAAATATTTGCACACCTGTATGAACATAAAGAAGTGCAAAAGCACTGTTACTAAAGTGTTGAAATGATAAACAAGAAAAAGCTAAAGAAAAACCAAACGTAGTCTTCAGCTGTGAAACTATTTTCAAAAAAGAATACAAGCCTGTTACGATCAATGCTTCTCCGTTTTTTATCGGTAATTTTTCTCAAGACAAAAAAATACAGGTTAGAATATGTTTTTTAATAAGCCACAAAAGCTAGGTTCAAGAACCCATTTTAAGAAAAGAAAAAAAGCAAATTTAAATGCGTAAATAAATAAAAAGTGCCGACTACAGAATTTTAAAAGTTTGTTTAGGAAATGCAGTAGAAAGTTGGAGGAATTTACTTTTATTCTTCTTCTTCTTATTATTGTTATTATTAATGAATTCAAATTATATATGTATATATATTTCACTTAATTTTTCTTTTTTAAAAATAAAACAGTAAGAAGTGAAGTCAGCCTGTCATAAATCACATTTTTTTAAAAGAATTTCAAAGTAGACTAGTAGCTTAGTGAGAGTGGAAAACAAGCAGACTTGTTACTGAAACATAAAACTGTGCAAAGAAAACTGAACACAAAAAATATAAGTATTGAAAGAATTTCCGAAAGTTTTCCTGCTCATTCTTAAAAAGATTTCTTGGCTTACAAACATAATTTTCTTCCCAAATAGGAGATGACAACATTTATTTTTGGTTTTCAAATTTGAAAATTGAAAAAAATTTTACGTAAAATACGTTTTCTTTTATAGTCTTCAGATAAGTAAGATTTATTACGCTGTAACATCTGCTAGAATTATTCACATGTTGGTCACATTTTGGATTGCAGTTGTTATTGACACCTCTTTTTTACACTGTCGATTCAAAGCGGTAATAAAATATGACTCTAAATAAGAGCTCTTATTTTTAGCAAAGAGCTAAATAAGAATTTTTGTCAATATTCACTTGAGTCGTATCTAAATGACAATTTATCTTATTCGGGAATGAACCACAACGCAGTAACAGTCAATGAGTCATATGCTTGCGGTATAATGTACTAGAACTCTTACTATTTTAAAATATACGGTAAACATACTAAAAAAAGCCACTTGATATTCTGATACAAATATTTTAGATAATAAGCTTACAAAACTGGTGTTTTATTTAATCAGAATTGAATACTCTACTCAAAACAATTTCAATAAATTGTTTGATGTTTTAACTTTTAAGATTTTTAGTCTAATAATGTGTAAGAACTTTTGTTCGTACGTTAATCTTAGACGAATGACTACAGAATGCCAATGTCATCATTAGCAAGCAAAACTAAGGTAAAAAATTAGGTGGGAAGGTTATTGCAAAAAAAAAAAAATCTTGAAAGACAAGGTTACACAAAAAAAGAAATTTAAAGCACTCTGGTTAAGCTAGGCGTCTTGATATCGTAGCGAGAATTAAGTACTTGTTCTAACATTCATCCTTCTCTTGAGCAGTAAAAAGGTTTCAAAAAGCTTACACTAATTTGCTACTTCTGAGAGTTTCTGGCACTGATTAAATAAAAGCTCAGAATGGATATTTCAACGTTTAACTAACATAAACGAGCAGCCGTTCTCAAAAGAATAACTTATGTTTGAGCAAATAATTTGTTTGAGACTTCGCGCTGACTTTTGGAAAGTTTCTGCATCTAAAGCGACTGAACCTCTATCATGGTCAGTGTCAGTAAACCACAAAATTTATAAAATAACCAAAATTCACTTTTTGAAACAAAAAAATTTTGTTTGTGGTTCTCGCTTTAGTTGCTTTAAGTCATTCAAGAGAGAACTCAGTAAAATTAAAAAGATATAGTCGTCTTACTCATCTTTTTAAAATATTTTTACAATGCTTTTTATAATATAAAAAATATTTTTTAGTCTATAATCTTTAATTAGAAGACCATAAATGCAGCAAAAAAACGAGCTATTCGGGTGTTCAAAGTGATAATTGTGAAGCAAAAATTTTATAATTTGAAAAGTTTCAAAAGTAACCACATTCTAATAAGAACTGAAATTGAATTGACTTTTAAAAGATTAGACAAGGTAACAAGCTTTATTGTCTTTTGTGAAACTACACCTGAGAATGTAAGCCTTTAGAGGATTGACCAGCATAACTAATTCTGCAATTGAGTGTTTAACATAGGCCAGGAAGAGCAACTTTTTTAACAGAGCTTGTTCAGACTTTTATGCTACTTATAGGCATTACAAATTTTGTAGATAGAAAAGCAGCTTGTAAGCTTGCAAAACATCAATTTGCAAAATAGAAATAATTTGCTGCATAAGGCAGCACGTCAGAGTTAAGAGGTTTTATAAAGTCTATAAGTTATATAGCTAAAACTAATTTTTTTTACTTATTAGCGTAAAATTTTGCAGTCTAGTGATTTTTTACGAAATGTTTATTAAGTTTTGTCGTTAAGCTCAAGTAGAAAACAAGTGAAATTCTTGAATAACAGACATTATAGTTGCATACATCGCCAATGAATGATCAGTTTTTAGCTAAAGATATATGACACTAGCATAAGTGTTAGCAGTAACAGTTGATGCGAATGTTTGGAAGAATTCTTAGTTGGTAAATAGTGATAAGAAAAAGTAATTGTAAAGTATTTTTCAAGGTATTTTTCATAACAGGTACACAAACTGAAAAGGACAAGAGAACACTGTACTGTTCTTAACAACAATTACTACAGCATGTTTCTGATTATTTTTCAGCCAGAATTCTCTGACGCAACTTGTAAACCGGAACACCTTCTAACAAGTACAGCAACCTAAACTCCTTTAAAAGCCTACGGTGCGACATTTTTTTCATTGTTTTACCTTTTCACGTTCAAATACTACTGGTCTGCTCTGAATTTTTTTCTCAATAGCTTATACCGTATTACCTCCTGCTCTTAAACTTTATCTCTTCATCAGTCCAAGAATTGAAGAATACACTATTCTTCATTAAATTTTTTTCTGCTTTGGAAAGATTTTGTTATTTATTGAGCATCGTATTTTTGTTTGTATCTTCATCGGTATCAAAATATCCTTGGATGATATCATGCATTTACAAATAAGAATAATATTGGCACTTATTCTGATTAACTGTTAAATGCTAAGTGAAAATCTCAATATTTAAAACAATAGTTGAGTTTTAGGATGAAGTATTTTCTCGTTTTGCTTTTGGTAACTTGCACTTATGCAGCTGTCCATCATGCTGAGATTAAGAACTCTGGCTCGCTCAGACGCAGACTAATCAAGTAAGAAACGAGCATGTACCGGCTACTTTCGCTATATAAAAGCAAAAAATACATTGAGGCAATTTAGCAGAAATATATTGTTAAGAAAAAATTAAAAAAACGCTTGAAAGTTTTTTATAGAGCTGGAAAGTACCACGAATTTCTAATTGACCAACAAAAGCTTCGTTTGCTTCACCGAAAAAATACTGGTTCAATGCCATTTATTGACTACTACGATGACTTCTACCTCGGCAACATCACTTTGGGAACACCTGGTAAAAAAAACAATAAAATGCAGTAAAATAGGAACTGAAGTTTTAATTTATTCTACTGTTATTAAGGTTTCATGTTAGAAATTGAAAATTAAAATTTTCAGCACAAACATTTACTGTTGTTCCTGACACTGGCAGCTCTAATCTGTGGGTTATCAGCTCGGAATGCAAAACTGAAGCTTGCAAAGGATATCCAGAATCTGGTTTCAGAAAACATCTTTATGATAAAAGGCACTTAATACACACAGTCTTGTGTAGCTTCTTTTTTTAAACTAGAGATTTTTTAAAGTAATACCTAAAAAATTACAGTAAGTCATCAACTTATAAAGAGGATGGAAGAAGATTCTCTATTCAATACGGATCAGGATCTTGTAACGGTTACCTTGCAGACGACGTTCTTCAAGTACAGATTATTGCTATACTAAAATTTCTTTTATTATTGTTTTAAACGTAGGTTTTGAGATAAACTTGACCATCTAAATTTTTTTTAGTTTGCCGGTCTTAAAGTGCAGAAACAAAAATTTGGTTTGTCTACAACAATTGCTGACGTTTTCGGATACCAACCGGTTGATGGTATTATGGGTTTGGGGTGGCCAGATC